GCCCCCTGGCGCCTGGTCGATCGCGATCGTCTTATTGGGCAGCCCTGATTTCGACGGGACAGACAAAATGTCTGCCGACGAACGTCACAGCTGCTGATCTAGAAAGCGAAAAGCAACACCACCACCACGTCCTCCTCCCCTAGAACCTGGGTGGACAATCTTTGGATAAATTGGGAGAAAATGGAGAACAAGAAAAAGCCCCAACGCCTGCCGGAACCGAGTTGAGGAAGCTTTGGATAAACTGGTGTCGTTGCGTTTTTGGGTTTGACTTCGCAATCTTTGGATAAACTGGGAGAAAATGGAGAACAAGAAAAAGCCCCGACACCTGCCGGAAGCGAGTTGAGGAAGCTTTGGATAAACAGGTGTCGTCGCTTTTTTGGGTTTGACTTCCCGCCTTGTACAATCTTTGGATAAATTGGGAGAAAATGGAGAACAAGAAAAAGCCCCAACGCCTGCCGGAACCGAGTTGAGGAAGCTTTGGATAAACTGGTGTCGTTGCGTTTTTGGGTTTGACTTCCGCCTTGTTGACTCCCAGCATCCTCGATGGAAGTTGCTCTCGTTGTTTTCGATTCCGCTGCCTTGATTCCAGGCTTCGGTGACCTGGATTTTTCATTCCCGTTGTTTTTTTTATTCCACTTTGACTGAAGTTCAGTGACAAACGACTAATTCCCAAACAGCTGTTCAGCCTCCCTGACATAAGTCGAAACGAAGGACATTTTGGCCGTTATTCTCGCTTGAGTTAGTTTTTGTCCTTTCTGCCGTCTTCGTTATTAATTTGTTTTATTGTTGATTGTTGGATATCTGATCTTTGCTCCGTGTACAGCACTTTTTTTTTATACAGCGGTGGTTGTTTTCCAGTGTTCGAGAAATACACTTGAGTTGAGTTTTATAAACGTAAAATATAGCTTCAGTCGTCTCGATTTTATTTTGTTTCTGAAATTAGCTTTGGAATCGTTTTTGTTGGTTTGCTTTAACCTTGATCAACGAGGTCTTTTCACGTTTTTTCTGCCCCCCCCCAAAAAAAGTTTTTACCTTGGGCAGGTGGCAAAGGCGGTGCCTCCTCATTGAAACAGCGACCTGCGCCGTCATGACATCGCAAGCGGGTGGCCGTAATGTGCTTAAGTTTGAGGTCGGCCGGCCCTCCCTGAAACGTCGCCAGTCGGCTCAAAATGATGTTGTTGTCCACGAGCATTCTGTCGTCAAAATGTGGCTCGCTTTGAATTGATCGCGCCTTCTTTCTGAGCCCCCCCCCGTTCACCTTCAGGCTAACCCTTAGCTTGCGTGCTATTACACGGCACCCTGACTTGTTGCTCATCCGGCGTTTCTTTCGCCGCCGCCTCTCGACCGAACGGGCAAGGTCGAAGAATAACGCGGCTCTCGTTTCGAGTGGACTTTGAAGAAGGGCCCTTGAACGCAAGACTTTGTTTTTTTTTTGTTTTTTTTTTTTCTTCTTCTCTCGGCTTGACATTTGTCTGCTGGCTAAAACGATTTCTTTGAATGTACTTGACTCGGGCAGAATTGCAGTCGGCAGCAGGAAGGAGACAAAATGTCGCCGTCTGTTATGATTAGCGCCGAAACGCTTCAACGGTAAAATGTTGGGAGCATTTCAGAAGGGGAGTCGTTCCGTTTCAAGTTGTCATTGTGGGTGAGACCGAATTTAGCATGTGTGAAAGTAGAAGACATTTTTGCGGCCCTCGTGAGGATAAACGATTTAGAAAATGGATGGATTTTTGTTGTAATAGTTCATATTTATTCAGATTATTTTCGAATGTACATTCGATTGTTATTCAATTAATTTTTCCCAGTGTTATTTTTCTTCATACTTCTTTTCTAATTCAAAATATTTTTTTGTCTAATACTTACGTTTTTTTTTCTAATTTCTCCCCCATTTTTTTTTCCAAAAACGGGTATATTATTTTGATTTCTTTTCGCAAATTTTGTATTGCTCTTTGAACAATTTTTCTGCCTTTGCAATGTTTTTTTGACTTATTTTATTTGCAAGATGTTGAATTGAAAATAGCGAAAGTATTGGATTGTTTTTAATTTATGTATTTATTTATTTATTTGAATTTAATCTAGATTTCAAAACGGATTAAAACGATCCATCCGTCCATTCTCCAAGCCGCCTATCGCCACGAGCGCTGGAGCCGATCCCGGCCGCCTTCGAGTCTCCAATCACGATTCAAAACGAAGGCGTATGTGGAGGATCGCCCACCGATCCGCCAATTACATTGAAATTACTCAGCAACAGCAGATATCGTATGGCGCCCCGCCCGCCTGGTCATCACAAACATCCGATTGTCATCTACTCAGAGCAGCGCGTACCGGTCGAACCACATGCTGCTTCACCCAGGCCACGAACGTTCTCCACTGCCCGCCGTGTAGCGAGCAACCGGAGCCTCTCGGAAAACGTAAGCCCCCGGAATTAGCCGTGACAGATCGGCGATACCGGTGCAGACACACGAGCAGATGCGAGCGGGGGGATGGGCGGGGGTGCGGGGGTAAAAAAAGGGGGCGGGGGCGTCTGGGACAGATGGAAAGACACTGATGTATCCCGACAGCCAGCGAGCCAGGATACGGAAAGCGCTTTGGCCTCCAGCCTGAATCAACAGAGCGAGCTGACGGCTGTATCTGCCCGGCTTTATTAACATGGAGAGGTGTGAACGCACACCTGGACACACACACACACACACACACACACACACACACACACACACACACATCGCTGTAATGTGGCGGCCAAGACGGGAGAAAGTTTGTTTGGCAGCAAGCTCGCAAGAGCTCCGGGATTCCAGGTGCATCATTCATTTTATCCGCCGGCAGATTATTTAAAAGACAACCCGCAGCATGCCCCGACACCCGCGCGCACGCCCACCGATTGTGAAGGCAGAAATGTCAATGATGTCAACAGCTGG